CTTTAACACACTTCAGTTCATCACAAGCAACACTATTATCCTCCATTTTCATTAAAATTCTATAAATAAGCATAAATTTTGAACTCGTAATATTAAATCGCTTAAGATAAGCACACAGTGTAAATAAACATTGAAACGTGAAATGAACTTGCAAACGTATTGCCCGCGCACCTCCGCTTTTAACAAATTTATTCCCAAAAGCCTGGCTTTAAATCTCTATACTAATTGCTAAATATACAATCGTAGTTATATTTCATTATAGAATATTTTGCCATAGGTTAGAAAGAGAGCGATCATCTTCTCGAAAGCCCCGTAAAAAGCCCACGCGAGCGAGGGAGACAACTATTAGCTCTATTAAAACTCATTTTTTATGACAGCAGCAGTATCGCTAAGGCAATACGAGGTCATCGGTCGACATGTGTCGAACAGTGGAGTGCGCGGGAAATTTGAAATAGCTTGAAACATTTTACGAGTTATTTTATTAGTTGATATTATTGATTGAATTATTGATTGATTCAGGTTTAATAAGGCAAGCCCGGATTTCGGTTTTAATGGAAACTTCGCCACTGGTATTAAGCTACAATTTTATGTTGGTATTATGTGAGAGCGTACACCTGTCAAGCCTACGAATTCGTGTTACAATCATAATATAATTGCAGCGTGGCTCTGCCATAAATAAAGCTGACGTGGCTATATAATGCTATTTTACACCCTATGAAAAGTCCACCGTTGAAAATAAGCATACCCCCCCCCACCCCACCCCACCTCACCCACGTAGCTGCTGCAATTGGCATCTTGGCAAGCGGGTTTGTAATTGCAGTTTTTATATTAATTTGCTATTTGAGAGGCGCTGCTCCCCATCTAGCTTTTTTCTTCTGTCGCCCTCGGGTATCGTCCTCGAGTGTCGTTCTTACGACATGTCATGTAATATCATGGAATAATAGACATACTTGCACCGCTATTATATGATAATGACTTTATTAAAATACCCGGCCAATATTTTAAATCATTGATGTAGCTAATTCAATATTCGAATATATATTATTTGTTTTATAAATCATGGCAACATTATTTTTTAAAACTGTAGTGACAAACGAAGTTACAGTCCACCTGATGATAAGTGGCAACTGCAGTTCATGAAGACCTGTGGCCAACTTCAAACACAGAACGCTTATGGTGCTTTGTCACCTCTGAGGACTAACATGGAATGCCTCACAGCCTGTGACTGTACTAGTCCTCGAATACTAGAAACACAGCGGTGCAAGCCTTGCTTGTTTGGAAGCAGAAATAGTTAATATGGTGATATCTACCCTACGGTGGTGGTGATGCTTAGGTAAAAATTGAATCCTACCTAAACTACTTACTACCTAGTAAGAAGCTGTTACAAAAACGTCAACGTACTTATTTCATTCAGTGCCGTTGTAAAATTTGACTTATACAGACTAAATGAGTATATCTCTTGGCCCCCTTTACAAAACTTTGCCGTCCTATAAAACCAAAACTAGGAGAAGGACAGAAACAAAAACACAAAGTCGTATACTATAACTAATATATTAAGAAAAATAAAATAGCAAACAAGCTTTGGCTATAAATAGGAATACTACTAAAAATGTAATTAAAAAAACTAATAGTATCGTAGTCTATACTAAAATCGACTAAAATATTTAGTAGGTATAATGTCAACTGTTAAAATGGTGCGATAACGCAGCGCCCTTTTGACCCTTTATTATTTGATGGATCGATGAAGAGCTGTCGTATCACAAAGCCATCTAATTCAAACAAAGCTGTAGTTTCCAAGTTATAAGTACCTGACCATATTAATCGGATGACCATATTGTCCTCACGTACCATTTTTGATGTGGTAGAGCCATGCTGCAGTTATATTAGTACCTAGTATAGTTGTAGCACGAATGGGCCGGCTCGACCGGGGAAGGACCACGCTCTCACAGTATACCAATGTCAAATAGTAGCTTAATGCTGCTGTGTTTCATATGGTGAGTGTAGAGAACCGGAGACCCTTTTTACTGGAAACGAAGCACTCCACCTAAGTCCTCACGGATGTCAACGCATCTGCATTTTGATTCGTAATCGAGGATAGATGTAGATGTTTATGACCCACAGCAACCATTTACCATCGGGTGGACTGTGAGCTCGTTTGTCATCCTATCCTATAACAAAAAAACTATACATGATGTTAGCTTAGTTTTATTTTGGTGAAAATCCAGTAAAATCATCTTCATCATTACACCATATCGAAGTTGTCTACTGCTAAACTTAGGCCTCCCTAGATAGCTCATATAAACATTTGTAAACATATAAATTAACAAAGGTATAACATATAAACATTAAAAAACAACAACTTGACAGATATAACATTTAACAAACAAACGCGTAAAACAAACGGACTTCACTCAGCTTATGTTGTCGCTGAAACCAAATGAGCTGGTTTTATGATTTTGTAGTGTAAGAATATCCACTAGCCCACAGCATCCCGTGGCTGTCGTAAGAGGCAACAGAGCGAAACAAATGAGGAGGTGACAGCAGCGTCTTCCTAATCACGGCTAAAATTTATAACAGCCGCGGTTGCCAACCCGTTTGCCAAGCGTGGCAACTATGGCAAACATCCTTTCTGTGAGGCAATCTATGGTGGTGCCTATGTTTAGCAGTGGATTCTGATAGCCTGTAACGGCTATGATTTTAAGTTATTATCAGTAAAATGTTGGCCGCCATCTTTTGTTTTATTTCTCTTACGACACTCACAGGGATATAGAATAATGGATTCACTAATGTCGCCATTACACAGCGAAAAACTTCATTGAGAACACAAAATTTGAAGGCGCCGACTGACCATATAGCACACCAGTATATCACAGGTTTCTCCAGGCTCCAACTATCAGCCAGTTGCCATTGCGTCTTATCTCAAATGGAGTCATTCTTTCATTTTTATTGGTGATAAAATTTTATACGTCGTATGCGAGATGATCATGGAGACTTAATTGCGGCCCACCGCGTGTTAATTAGAATTTTATGGCGGCTTTAGTTATTTAGTCGCCGGGATGTAAGACAGCGTCGCTTGGTAAAGAACTTGGGATCAAGTGGTACACGTAAATTTAGTTTAGTTCGAAATATTATGATTTCAACGGCAGCTTCGTATGCATTACAATATGAAAGAAAAAATTAAATATTTTAAAAATTTTTAATTATTAAATATTTAATATAGAGGTTTGTATATTATGAAAGCAAGCTTTTAACACTCTGTATAGAAATATATATATATATATATATATATATATATAATATATATATATATATATATATATATATATATATATATATATATATAAAAAAAATATACAGCTCACGGGTCGGCTCGACCAGGTTGAGACCACACTCTCATAGAATACTAGCTTAATGCTGCTGTGTTTCGTAATGTGTGCAGAAAACCGGTGACTCTTTTAACTGCAAACGTTACTCCTCAGTGGTTTCAACGCGTCTGCATTTTGACTTGTAATCGAGGATAAATATTGATGTCTATGGGTCACAGCATCTACTTACCATCAGGTGGAGTATGTGATTGTCATTTTTATTCTATAAAAAATGAATCACACATATGTTTAATTATATTGTGGATTCTACAATACGTAAATTTTTTTAATAAAAATTCCTAGACAAGTGGTAGTTGATAATTTTTTTTCACTAAACACGCACAATAATTAAGAGTCATCATTAGTAGCTCCCGAGCAATAAGTTCATTCTAAAGATGACAAATACCGAGCAATTAGCGTACTGAGAGTGAGCTACAGTAAAAGTGCGCACGCGCCTTCCAGCTGCTCATGCATCAGAGCCACTTCCTCTGATCTTTGACTCACACAATTGCAAGCATCTGCCGTCTTGACAGTCACCAGCATTCGCTGACACTCGGGACATGTCTGTCACGCTAAGCAGGAGATATTAAACTGAGGAGGTGGGAGGTCAATTTACAATGGTTCTTATAGTTATCCAACAAATTTATATTTACCGACCGTTAAATTGGACTGACAATGTCAGCTCAATGGTAAATGATTTTAGCAGCGATAGACGTAAGTTTGTAAGGAAATATGTTACATGTTACTCAATCCCTTGTTGGCACGAGATTATGAATTGAAGTGGTTCGCGATCAACTAGGTGTTTCCGTCGCATCAGCTGTTTACTACCACAAGAACGTTTGATATAAAATTGTTTAGACGCTCGTTTTAATAGAGAAGAATAAACGAACTCCTTGAAAAAGATTATTTCTTAAATGTTAAATGTCAAAATGACAAAAACCAAAACAAAAATGATAATATTTTTACACTCAAACAGTGAGAATGAATCAAGAATACAACACAGTTTATTTCAGCAAACATAAATTACATAAGGATTTAAAAAGCCTCCTTACCAAACGGCCTGTACTATTCAGTTCTGAAGACCTTGATCGATTGTCTTTAGAGCGAAGTAAAGCCGGATTATCGAGTCGTTTACAAAATACCAATCAACAGACGCCAGTTAGAGATTTTTCGTCTTACTTTCATTTTTCTAAAAGTGGTTATGCCCCAAAATACTTAGTGACGTCACATGCTGCTTCTGCGGTTGTATCAAGCCGGAAAATTGTTTGCCCTTCATGTTTAAATGTAATTCAGTACAATGTACAATGGAATCCTCATTTACTCGCAAATTCGGTGTCAAAAGGAAATTCTGAGTCTGATTTAACTAATCATACGAATATTAATAGTAGATGCGCGACTTGTAAAATTAGTGAAAAATTGGGAAGGTTGGTTTCCAACAGTTTAAAATTAAATGATCTCCATAATAACGTTACATCTAAAAACGTAGAAGTTGTGACTCCACACAATAACGATAAACGAATAAGAACTGCATCATATTATAAATCGAAATGCAAAATTTTAAATCCAAATTTAGTAAAAAATGATGGAACAAATTATTCAAAAGAATTTCGAAATTTTCCATTACATGAATGTGCAATGAATTTTGATAAGAAAGCACAAGTACCCGATGATAACGTAATTGAAAAAAGATCTTGTTCCCCAGACGCTGTGGAATATCGCAAGTCTAGAAGATCTTGGTCTGTTAAGTCGTTATTAGGTATGAGCAAAACAAAAATAAGTGAAGATATGGATACAAAGGGCAAAGTCCAACAAACTTTCCGTAGAATATTGTACAATGAAGGCATTGATGATAGAATAGCTTCTAATTTTCCGATGATAATTCATCGACATCCTTCGCCTGAACGTATAGAAAAGAAATCTAGCAGATATTTAGTCACAGACGGTCTTATTCCATGTGATCACAGAAGAAAATCTAGATACCACTACCATTGTCAAGAGGAATTAAATAAAAAGTGTTATAAACTTGACAATAATTTTAAATATAAAGCCTGTGCAGAATACCACAAAGATCCCAGAAAAAGTTACCAGAGAGAATGCCGCTAGCTTTATACAGATAAAACTACCAAAGAAAGTGTTCACCTCAAACAAGGATGATTAAAATAAATGAATGGACTTCTCATTGCAATACTAGAGCTGTCATCTTATGGCTTATGTTAATATATGTACACTTAATTATTTAAAAAAAATCAAATTGAAGTATGGATTGATTAAAACTACTTTTACGGATTTTATCGCGTTTATTTTACTATTATTTTTAATTCCCGACGTTTCGTTGAAGTATGGAACCAACATTTTTTTTAAACACACGTGACAAACGGACATACGGACTGATTATATATATATATATGGTTATTCCATACTCCTATTTAGTTTTAAATAGTGATCATTCCATTATACATATTATATAAAACTAAAGACATAATTGGCATGAGTTGTCATCAGCTTATTTTATTGTACCAACCTGTTACTAGAGTAATAGGAATTGTACTTACATACACTCTTATTCTCAAATAAATCCTCAATCTTTGAATGGACTTTGCTTTGTATATGATACTATAATGGTTTCTCATTTCTTTAAATTTAATTTTGATTAAATAGACATGTTTTCGTCAATAATTTTATTTATTTTTAGATAAACGTGAGTTTGACCAATGCGCGCAGTTCACCGGATGGCGAGTGGATGATATGGTCCATAAAGACCTACATCTATCCTAGTTTAGAATCAAATGCAGATGTGTTGTCACCACTATATTATGGTTGTACTACAGTATCATAAAATTTATAGACTGTGGTTGTACCATAAATCGGAATCAGCACAGGTCGGCTCGAACGGGGTAGGACCACGACCTCACAGAATACAAGCGTTTACGCTAATTATTAATAGCGACTAATAAAATAAATAATAAATAAGTAAAAAAATATAGCGTGAGTGGTGAAAACAAGAAACGCTTTTTACCGGAAACGAAGCATTCCATGTTTGTACTCAGAGGTGACACCGCATATCTGCATTTTGATTTTTAGCTGAGGATAAATAGTAGAGTCTAGTCTATATAGTAGAGTCTATTCACAAGAACCCACTTACCAGCAGGTGGACTGTGTGCTCGTTTGTCGCCCTAGTTCTATTAAACATAACCTCCAACGTTTCTATTTGCTTCATGCGTCAATGTTGATCAACTTGTTGACAAAATAGTCAATGACTAACAATTTTGTCGACATCGATTCATGGATTATTTGTAGCTGAAAATTTTTCTTGGCATAAGCCTCATAATCTACCTTGATATCAAATTTCATGATTCTATTAGTAAGCCTTTTAGATTACTTAGAAACTTTCTTAGTTCAAGTGGCCTAAGTATATAAATAGTGAAAAATAAATGGCACTTTTAAACCTTACCTTAAGAGCTCAAGAACTATAAAATGTTCTAGGTATTCTTTATTAGTTTTGCGAAGTTACGAGTTCTAGGTGTAGTGGTTTTAAAGTTATTTAGAAGCAGAATTTCATTTATTTAAATAAAAAACAATATGCTATTAACTTAATCCTTCACTGTTTACAGACCAGCTGTAAACCAGCCAGCTGCCGCGCCGCTATGTGCTGGTGGCTTGTGGGTTAATGAAGTCAGCAGCTGCGGAGAAAGTATACTTGATTGGATAATCTGGTGGCAATTGCTGCACGGATACTGCAGTTGTCCTCAGCATTAGGTTGCTCGTGTCTTAAGTAATCTGTATATTTATTTTGAAAATATATTTTTTCAATCACATTTTTATTCGTTTGATCTGTGTTTTATTATAGCTATAGCTACAAAAAAATTTAAACTCCGCAAAGACCAAAAACTTTATTTAACAAAGTTTGTATAAAAAGGGTTATTATAATATTAAGGAATTTATGGATGATAATAAGCCCTGTGTATGAGATGATCGCTATCGAGATACAGTAGAATCTCGATAAAATAAAGACCAAGGGAAACGCTAAATAATTTAAGTTATTGAGGTTTTTACTTACTAAGGGTTTTAAGTTAAGGAGTTTTTATTGGTTTATATTTGTTAGTACGGTAGTAGTAGTAGTTAGATTTGTTTATGAGTTTTGTTTAGAAATTATATCTCTCACTATCTATCTATACTCACATAGATAGATGAGCAAGGTTAAATGCAAATGAAACTATTAAATGTTACATAATATGTACTTAAGTCCTTTATTTTAGGTTTATTTTATTCTACATAAAAAAGTCTGCAATTTGTTTTTGTTAACTACTCACACTTTCTACATTAATTTTATTTTCAATATTACATAAAGAAGACGCAATAACATCCTTTGTGTTTCTGCATTGCTCTTTAAAAGATCGTAAAAAAATCTATATAATAAAGCTATAAGATACAATTAAGTTGCTGTACTTAGAACTTAGTGTATTGTTTACATTTAAAGCGATTTGATAAACCGGTGTATGCAATAACAATGATCTACAGGGAACCTTTATTGTTTGCACATTCATTTAAAAAGACTCATTGTTAGATGATTGAAGTTGCAAAGGTCGTCTTCGTTACAACTTTGAGTTACTGATGTGCGACGCCAAAATAGAGGGTTTGTATTTTAAGTTTTGGACTCCGAACGGAAGGAAACACAATTTTATTAATTTATAGAGGTTATTACGTTATTGAGGTTTACGTTATCAAGGTTCTACTTTACTTCTAATTTAATAATAATTATTTTAATAACAATTATTGTTAGCAACACAATTGTGTAATATATATGTAACATCATCAATAACTGATCTTTTTCAAAAAAAAACTTCTTCGGGTTTTTTGTTGGTCCTGCCAAAGATAGAGGTATTTTCTGAATCAGTGGTTAATTAAAAATAAGAGTTTATTTTTTATTGAATATATTACATTAGTAAGTAACCCGGGTTCGATCCCCGCCGGCACCAATGAAATTGTTAATTGCAATTTTAGGTGCTGATTTACCACATGCTCGGCGGTGAAGGAAAACATCGTGAGGAAACCTGCACGCATTAGGGCAGCGCGGCGGACACTTCCTTGCCCTAAAACCCTCTCTGAAATGAGGGTAGGCCTATGCCCAGCAGTGGAACTTATATAGGCTGCAACTTTACTTTACTTTACTTTATATTATATTGAATAAAAAAGTTTCTATTTCTATTAATATAAAAATATCATATAATTTTTTTATTTATAATTTATTATATTTATTTGTTCTTAAACGAACGTCACACGATGTACAGGAACAAAAAGCGGACAGCATCACAGTCATCTGAATGTACCATGAGCGCTGCACCTCTGCACGGGAGGGCAGAGCGGCACGCGTCGCCCTCGCATCCCAATCTGCAAATAAACAAATAAACAAGTGCACCGCCTGTGTGCCATGCACTCCGCGGCACAGTTTATTTCATTACGCTTGCAATATACGGATGCTCCTAGTTGTTTTGTTTTAAATTAAGTGACAAACGAACTGGACGATTGTAGTTGGATATAAGCAAAGAAGGATAAAGACGCGTTATCACCTTTGAGGATTTGGATGGAATGGCTCACATGTAGTAAATATATATATATATATATATATATATATATATATATATATATATATATATATATATATATATATATAATGACTCTTTACTTCCTTTAGACTTGAACACAGCATTGTAAGCACCGCATGAATGACAGTGCTTAAAGTGATAATTACCTAGACGGATTTTCAGCCAGAAAAGTACTACCACCTACTAAAAGATGGTATAGATAAGCACTTTATAGCTGCAGCATGCATGGTTCGTCTCAACCTAGAAAGGACCACGCTCGCATAGAATACCAGCATTAAAAATAATTTTATATGGTGAGTGACGCCCACCGGATACTCTTTTAGCTGTTGACGAGGTATTCCATCTTATTCCTCAAGATAATTCCTCAAGGTAAGCGGATAATCCCGGAATGTCACCATGCGAAATGGCTGCATTAAAGCTTCTATTTCACGCTGGTATTCTATGAGAGGGAGGTTCTTTCCTGGTTGAGTTTACAACCATACAATAGCTGCGAATGGCTTTACCATTTATGGTTTTAAGGAGATATCATTAATTATGAAATTCAAATTTTTTTACCATTTATTAATGTAAATTTAGTTACAAAGTCACAACAAAACATTTTTCTTGCTTTTAATCTTCACTGTTTTCACTTCATTATCACCGAATATCGGTAACTTGGAGTTATTAGTTTTTTTTTACTCGTATATACGCCTAATGATCTAATTTGATACAAAATTTCACTTTTCTTAGTCACCTAGAAATGGTCTTAAGTCTAGAAATGGTTTTGGACACTTTTCCGACCTAAATATCTCAATTATCTCTCTTTATTTACGATAGTTGAACTAGGACCGTTTATATTTTTTAAAATATTGCATTTTCCAAATAAACTTATATGTAAAACTCCGATATTGATATATTTATAATTATCGATATATCTAAAATCCGATAGTTTAAAAAATATCAACAGTCCTAGTTTGTACTGATCACTTGGAATGATCAGTTGAACTGACCGTGTGTGTAGTCCATTATAGGTACTGCAATTTACACTGGCATTCTATACATGTATTTGTTTATTTTTACAAAATAATGCATATTTTACCCTCATCGTCTCGCTTTGTGATAATTTCGGCGGTTATAACTTTATTGAGATGCAATAGAGATAGGAAGGAAGCTATCAGTCACAGAGGGCGGTTATCGGTTTCCTTGATCACAAACTCCTTGCGTTTTGCCCATAGGATTTGGTTATGTTTGTAGGGTGACCAGTTATAAAGACATGTTTTTGGTAAAAACTTGACGTACCTCACAAAATATTGTTCTTGGGTTTTTGGGGCGCTTTACAATATTAAAAAAGAAACAATTAGTTGTGAAACTTGCGGGAATCAAAGTAGAAAAACGCGAAGACACTGCGCTAGTGAATATCTTCTGTTTATTTAAAACTTTTTAGATTTTAGCTTTTCGTTAATGAAATATAAAACTATATAGCCCTATATGTATATATGTAATATAATATTATATAGCGCC